GTGACAAAGACAGAAATTTATAGGAGGATGTGTCAAACAGCAGTTAATCAAATTACTTGAAATGACTCAAAAGCAGCAACCATTGGGATTGGAGTGGGGGGCAGATAAGTGCGAAGTGAGTCATTTCACTTCTGCTACTTTTGCTTTCTGTCCGCTGAAAAGCAGTGAGTCATTCCGAGGAGCTCTCTGTGGAGCTGATTGACAGCCTGGCCAGAAAGGAATCTTTTCAGCTGCTTTATCAGCATGGCTGCTCTTTAAAAAACAGATACAGATACAGCCTGGAGGAATGGGTACGCATCTGCTTTATAGGGGCTCATCTGATCTTTTTACAGTCACATGTCAAATATTGTCATTGCAAATGGTTAGAATTTGAAGCTGCTAATCCCACAGAGCTTGGACAAAGTATACAAAAAAATTGCAAAAGAATTGTACCAGTAAGACCACATACATGAAAATAAATACATGGTGGTGTACCTCTGTGATCAGATTCATCCTTTCCTGTTGTTGCAGCTCCTAGGGTTTAAATTAAGTCAAATAAATGGTATAAAATAAAAAGCACTGTGTTGAAAGAAATTATGATTAATAGTGACATTTTGGTAACATTTGGCATTGGAAACAGTTTTTTTTTTCAACTTGGTGCATAACCATACTATTCTGAGTAAGCTCAGAATCCAAGTATTTAATTATCCCAAATATTCTTTCACACATCTCTATCTGTGTTTTTGAGAATCTGCAATCAGTGTTGAGTAATCTAGTCCAGGTGTGCCGTGTCTGTTTATTGAAGCTTATTAATGCTAGCTAATTCTGGTGATCCTGGCACCAAAAACACATTGAAAATGCTTCCCTCTTCTCTTCACCTAAAAATACTATAAAGCCTTCACAAGTTTCTAAATGTGTTCAGAGTAGAATTCTGAAATTGTGAACACATGATGATCAAATGCAGTCCAGAGACTTTAAAGACTATTATGTCCTTTAAATAAATGCTTAGAAAAGCTACAAGGCAGATGTCAATTTCAGTGTCATTTGTGGCTAACAGCTAGCCACTTGCGTTACTTTAACTCTGCTTTACAATGTATTTGTCGCCTGTCACAGTTTTGTTTTTCTGTCAAATGTAAAAAACTATGTCACCACACAAAACAATTTAAAAGTGACGGATTCTGTAACAAACAGTTTGTTACAGAATCCGCCAGCTAATCAGACTAGACTTCTCTTTTTTTTTGTTAATTTTGTCAACACAACAGAACAAGAACTACTTCTTTTGTTCCTTTAAAGTAAGAGTTACAAACAAAGACAAAACACAGTGTTAATGTTAAATTACTAATTTTCATATTTTGGGCTTATTGTGCTAGCTTACCTGTAAGCTATGATGCTAGCTTATTCTTGTGCTTACAAGAGTAAGCTGTAAGCACTAAGTGAGACTTACAGTCTATAACTTAGAATATTGTAAGTTATAGTGCTCACTTACTCTTGTAAGCTATAATGCTAGCTTACCTGTAAGTGCAAACATCTTATAGCTGAAAGTGAGGAGTGGGGGAAATTTTCCTCAGACAGATGTCAAAAATGGCATATAGCTATATAAAAATAGAAATAACTGAATATTTCATTGTTTCCTCTTTTTATCCCACTACTGTAAACGGGACCATATTTTGTTCTAAGTAATTTGCTGAATAATACATTGTGGTTTTGTGTGTTGTTTCAGAGAACTGGGCATTCCACTCGGACATTTGGCAGATTCACCCATGGTGTGTTGTCAGTATGAGCTTATTCTCAGCACCTACAGTTTCTTTTTTTTTTCTTGTTTATTTTTCTTTTGTTCTGTTGGAAAACTGCTGTAGCCTTTTGTTCTTCTCGGTTTATCCTTCATCAGCATGTGTTTCCACTGATATTTACTCCAGCAATTATTATTTGGTATATTAAACTTGTTATTGCCTAAGTTTATTTGTATGTTTTGCTGTTTAACTGCACACAAGTGGGTTTTGTTATTGTACATCCACCCCCACAAAGTGGTATTTTTGTATCGCACTGCTGCCTCTTTGCAAAAGCACAATCTTCAAGTGGAAAACATCTATCCCTTCTGATTTGTGCCATAATATTTGGCAATGTTTGTGCAACTGATGACTCAAACCAAAAGCAGATATTTTAACTCCAAATCTCATTTAGAATCCAATCCAAGCTTTACACTTTCCTTGTATATTCAATGTCGGCATAGTTTCCCCGCTCTCTCTGCAATGTGTTTAACTTCATAATTTTCAGATGGGTGGATCTACATACCCAGAGCCACAAAAGGCACACTCTCTAATGGTGATTATTCTTTTCTTGAAGTCATGCAAGAAAAGATTTTGACTTGATGCGATTTTGACTTGATGCGAGGCGCAATGAGGTGCAACCCATTTTGTGGTTGTTGTCCTCCTCCTCTCCCGCAGACTCTAACCAGTAAACATATCTGTCAGCCACCCAGCAGTTTGGCTGGTGATTTTTAGACTCTAATGGGTACGAAGAGGATTGGTCGTGTGGGTGAGAGAGATGCTGGTTTCCATAGTAACGGTGCTCTCCCGTCTGCCCTCTCTTGCTGCCACTATGGAAGCGAAGTTTTCCGCTCCTGCCGAAAGCAAAGCTATGGTAAACCTTACTGCCTCTATATATCTGCTGCTGCACACCCCCTCCTCATCCATCCATCCATCCATCCATCCATCCATCCATCCATCCATCCATCCATCCATCCATCCATCCTGTTCTATAGACCTCTCTTTCTGCCTTTTCTGAATTCATACATTTTTATTTTTTTACTGTAGGCACGGGCTGGTTTGAGCAAAAACAGAATAATTTTGCAGGCTTATGGTCTTAAAACAAGCCTTCTAGTTAAAAGTTAAAACAGTACCGAAATGTAGCTAAAATATTGCCAGTAACAGTTATCATTGTTGCCCTATTACCTCTCTGGAATGGTAATTGTTTATTGTACTGGCAGACTAACTAACATGGTTACTTGTGGACAATGTTTTTTTCTTACCATGGTTTCCTGCTATTATGAAATGTTTTCCTTATATCATGGACTTAAAGAGCTTTATTATCGCTGCTGATAAAGTATGAGCACAAATTGTTGCCTTGAATATTTATGAATATTCTGCCATTCTGTTTTATGGAAAATCCCATTGGATGCCAGAGAAATAAATTTTTGCTTATTGATTTGCTCCTTTGTTGCTTCAATAGAAATCAGCTGTCTTCAGTCAGTAGTCTTCAATAAGCTGTTTACCGCACTGACAGATGTGCTCATTATTGCAAGTTGCAATACTGTAATTGCAGATCAAAAAAATGTTGAACTCATGAAACTTTAGCCCACATTCCTGCAACATACCATAAAAAATAGTTGAAATCTGCACATTATTTTTTGCCAACATTGCTTTACTACTATGTTTCCCCAATGTTATGGGACTAAAGCAATTAATTATTAACTTTGCAACTCTGCTGCAACGACATTACCACATATTGTTGAAATATTAAATAGCTATTTTCTATTTGCTTTTTTTTTTTTTTTTTTTTTTTTTGCAAATTAAAATTAGGAGTCTTTGAAGCTGATTGGCTAGTCAAGCTTGTCAGATCCTGGGCTGTTATGGTGTTTTGATTATTTGGTTCTAGTGTTATTATTATTCTGTGTTACTTCGTCTCTGTCTTTGTTTAGATCAGTTTGGTTTCTGTTTAACCTTAGTTCAGTTTTTCTTAATGATTCCGGTTTATTATGTTTATTTCTTGTGTCTAGTTATTCCTTGCTCATGTGCTCTCTCTCACCCCCTGTTCCACTTTCTCTGTCTCTCCTCTCACACCTGCAAACCATTACCTAGTATTTAAGCCTTTCTCCTGCCCACACTCCTGGCCTGGCTGGTTCCTGTTCTATGCTGTTTACTTCCCTGTCAGTACCCTGCTTGCTTTTTGTTCCTGTTTTTGTTCTGCTGTGGATCCCTATATTCCCTGTGATTTTTTTGTAAGTTTTCAGTTTTATCATTAAAGAAAATTTAACATGAGCCATGCTGTCATCCCCTCTGCAATATCGTCCATCCACAAACTCACACCTTGGTTCTACCCTAGTATGTAGTGTAATATTTTATCAATAGTTTTGTACTACTTTTTTTTTAGTTTTGTATAAAATAAAATAAAACACAGCAATGGGAGTTGAGGAAATTGGTTTTTATTATGTTTATTTGTCGTTACTATTTCACTAATGAATCTGCAGTAAGATATTTCCTGAATCAACAGAATTGAACAACTTTGTGCTGCTAAGGTATTAATTAGCACATATTATTGAGAAACTGAATATCTGCAGCTATAGTTAACTGTATTTAGCCTAACATTTACAGCTATTTGCTATTTAACTGTATTTAGTTGAATAGCAATATTTATTTAGGTTTTTTAGGGTTTTTTTGGAAAGTGAAATTCTTAATAGATGTTTTTAGCTAGTTAATTAAAGTAGGCTCCACTCCAGCAGTTAGCCTGCATTTAACTTTTTCAATTGTATTATTAGTGTTGCTAAAATGTTGGCACATAGTTAAATACTGAATATTCTTTTAGACTATGTTTACCATCCTGTTGGCTTTTAAACATTACAAGCCTGACAAGTGACTTTAACTCCTTTGATGTAGCCCTTCATAAAACAGTTTATTTAAAATTTGATGATAGAACTTTTATTCTACCATCAATTTAAAGATCATAAAGATTTTATATATGTTACATTACATTTAATACAATTCCATTCTGTTTCACATTTATATGCAGCTATATCTTCATGTATAAAATGTGAAGGCAAAACAAATGTATCTCAAGTTTAATCTCTGCATCTCTTCACTTCATGTTTACATCTATTTATGGACTTGTTACACAGTTTGGTTTGAATCCTGCACATTCAGTACTCTTTCGAAGGAGCCATAAAAAACCAAGTACTATGATTTTTACTTTTTATTTTTAAGTTATTACCTGTGTGTAATTTTCTTGTTCTCGTCACATGATTTCAGACTCTGAGACGACAGAAGATGAGACCACTGAACCTCAGATGGAAACCAAGGAAGGGCCCGGGAGGCACCAAGACAAAGTCGGACGGAAAGGACCATCGGGTATTTAGTTGCTTTTAACTCACTCTGTTACTTTTGTTTATTTCCAACACTTTTTAAATTAGACAGCCAACGTTTCAGCTTCCTTTTGGCGCTGCACACATAAATATTTATGGCTTCGAGCCGCCACTGTTCGCAAAACGTTGTTCCAGACTGCAGTCTTTGCAAATTTAACATCTCTGGGAACATTTTTTATAGTCACATTCCTGACGATTTATTGGCTGCCAGAAGAGCAGCCAAAAGCACACTTGTACAAAATCATGCTTGAGTGTGGATTTAATGGAGGTTGTCACTGACGTCTGTCGGGTGAAATCCGATATGTACTAATCCCTCGTGATGTGATGTGATGTGATGTGATGCGCCGGTGTGGCACACTGCCCCAGTTTCCAACAGGAAGCAGCACTGTGTATGCATGATAACGCAAAATGCAATTAGATAACAGATATTTGAAACCAACACTGTGCTGGTGTTCTTAAATTTATATAAATCACCACAAAATGTCTTGCAAAGATGAAAACATACTCAGGAAGACTATTCAGGAATTTGTGAAAACTCAACAAACACCCAGAATCCATTTCCGTCCAGGAAATTGGATGTCTGAAGAGATTAGAGGTATTGATAGACTTAAATATATTTCTCTCCTTTCCCTTTTTTTTGCTAGAGACAAGCAACAAGAAAATTAAAAAAGATCAAATCTAGTGGAGGATTTTTCCCCCCTTCTATGTTGTATTTTCTTTCTATCAATAAATTCCTTGCGACACAATCTTATAAGCACAAAAACAAGATGTGTGGTTCATCTGACAGGAGAACTAAATCAGAAGCAGATTTAAGCAGGTTTTTCATGCAGAAAAAACAAACAGAGGATTGGAGATATGGAGAAAAAAATGATATTTCATTCACTCCTTGTCCTAGCGGTCAACAGCTCCATCCACCCATATGTGTAAAAACTTATTGAACAATGCAACATCTTTTTTGTAACAATCTTGATAAATGAAAACAATATTTTGAAGTTTTCAACTTCTGGTTGTGTGTGACGCTGATGTATTACGCTCTCTGATGGTCAGGCTGAGTCAGAATCAGTTCAGTTTGATATTTTTGCTGCTATTGCACTTCTGTCTCCGTTGCTCATCACTAAGCTGCCAATCCTCTCTTGATTTGTGACAGGGAGGCCATCTTTACACAAGGCCTTTCAGTTTCATTTGTTCTTTTTTAATAAATCGATATCTGCAGACTTTTTTCTAACGGTCCTTATGGTACCCAAAATTAGAGTGTTAGTTTTGCAGTGCAGCAGCACAACTCAGTTCGTTAAAATTATTTTTGTTTTGGACATTACAAAACATGTCATTCTTGAAAACTGTCAGCCTCAAAAATAACACTAAGAGAGACTTTCAACTCTGATTCTGAATGGCTATAAAATACAAAATAGCTAAATGTGAAATTTAATCAGACCAACCACTATGGTTTTATTATTTCTGATGATTGTTTTAATCTCTTTTATGAATTCTTCAATTTATAACTAGGATCAACACAGAATGAATGGATTTAACTGTCTTAATGATTCCATTAGCCTGATTTTATATTTGATTTTATATTTCTCTATTTTGAATCTGTTTGTTGGGAGCAACAATATTGATCTGAATTAAACCCAGACCTCAGTTTCATCCAGTTTCTCACTCTCTGACTGCAGGTGAAGGAGGACGGATGATGGACTATAACCCGGATGCTTCAGATCGCAGGGCCACGCTCCCCGGCACCTACGACCCCGTGGTGGAGCGGGAGCTCCGGGCTTTGGGTTCCCGCCCGCCGGGGCCGCATTTGGACCCCACAAACCCAGCAAGGCAAGCCTTCGGCGGGGGCCCCGCCGAGGGGGTGGCCCCCGTCCGTCACCTGGGCGTGGAACCTCTAATCCGGGCGTCTCATGCTAACCTGGCCCGGCCTGTGCAGGGGTCAGAGGAAAGTGTCTCTGTCGGAAGCGACTACTATGGGAGCATGTTCAGCCTCTACAGAGGGAGAACATTTTCCATGCCCTTATAGCACATGGCTCTCTGTTTCCAAGATTCCACTAAAAGACTGGCCTCAAATCCTAAATTGACACTTTGCACAGTATTCTATCCACCATCGATCCATTTATTCCTTTCATTTCATTCTCTTGCCTTCATTTCGTTCTGATCACACTTTCCTTTGACTTGTCTGATTTGTGGTTTGATTTAATCTCATTTGAAGCTTATATCTCTGTTCATGCTGTACATAATAATTCAAGCCTTTAGGGAGGAAATGTTGTACATTTGTGCTACTTGACTCATTTCTAACAGGTTAGGGCTTTTTAAAAACTGTGATTTTGCATGTTTTCTAGAGCAGCAGCTCACTTTTGGATTTTCTCTGGGTTTGCAGTGACATGCATGTTTGCTGATATTAGCATGAATGTTTTCACGAGTCAATGACTCAGGCTCTTTCTTGGCATGATTTCAGTCGTTTTTCTCACTTTTTGGATGAGTTTATGCTTAAAAACTGTTTTTCTTTCTGGATTATTGTAAACACTTAGGAAGTCTGGTCTGTCGTTTACTTTTTTTAAATCTCACATTGCCGTGTTTTGACCGTGACATAATACATATGGGACTTGAAATACTCAGACATTTATCAGCATCGTCTCTGCTCCAACAAACCCTTAAAAACTGCTTGATCTCTAACTCCACAACTTCGTCTCCCCCCAAATCCTCACTCCTGTAGGAACAAAACTCCTGAGAAATCCTGGGGGTTCCCCTCTCATGTCCTCTCATCCTCTACCCAGCCAGCGTTAATCAAAAACCTTGACCAAGACAAAACTGAAGACTCCGAAGCAACTAAGACCTCTGGCACCGGCAAAGTTATCATGACTCCGAAGCTGGCTCGTGCCGGACCCAAGATCTTTGACAAGGTGCGGGCCTTTGAGGAGCGAAGAAGGAGTGTGGATCTGCCAGGAGGGGCGGCGTCCGTGGACTCGGATGACAGCGGAAAGAAAACAGGAGGCCCCAGCAAGGAGGAGGGGAAAGTCCTGCAGGGAGTAGCCCAAAAGAGAGCAGCATTCCAGCAGCGGGCCTCCTCACTGGAGGACAAGACCACCTACTCCCAGAGGGTTCAGAGCTACCAGAACAAGTTTGCAGAGGAGCTCCAGAGGATCAAGAAACTTGTGGGGAAATCGAGCCTGAAGAAGGCATACTCCACTGAGCAGCTGTCACAGAAGGAAAGGACCCACTCGGGGAAAATAGAGCCCATTCCTCAGCATGTGGTGCAGAAGCTGGAGGCCAGGGAGCGGGCTCTGGAGGGGGAACGGGATGGGGCACCCCGGGTTCCTGCACCGCTCCCCGGCGGACCTCTAGGCCATCGGAGGGAGAATCCTCGTTGGGACAATGTGGCACAGACGGCTGGAGGCTCATCCCGAGAAAGCTCTGGGAAATGCTTGGTTGCCATGGAAACGGAAGCAGTTCACCAGTTGCCAGGACAACCACTGGCAACAGCAACCAGGAAAAGTCTAAACAGGTTAGAGCAGATTTGATGTTTTAATTATTATGTGTTTGTCTAATTACAGTGTCCCTACCAAAAGTTTTCAAACTTTCTTATCAGACATTAGTTTATTTTGAGGTTATTTACTATGATCGACAGACAAAGACTCTATATTGGTTTAGGTCTGGCCTTTGTATAGACCTTTCCTACATATACTTTGATCTAAACCGTTCTATTGTAGCTCTGACTGCATATTTGTGGTCTGAAGAAGCTTCAATCAGGAAGACGTGAATCCCCACAGGATATTACTGCCACCACCTTGTTTTATAACCTTGTTTCACAGTGGCAGCAATGTGTTCGGGGTTTAAGTTTTCCACCACATGTAATCTTTTGATTTCCTCACATTTTAGACGTTTTGGCGAGGTGGCAATTGTGTCCTATGTTTGTAACTTGATCAAATGTGAAAGGTTAAAAGAATGGTACACTTTTTCCAGGCACTGAAGATGTTTTCTTTATAAAATGTCTCAAGCTGTAGTCATGGGTATTGTTTTTCACAGTAGTAAGTGTTATGTAACCGTTTCTTTTTCCATCCGCCCAGTGAAACTCTTCAGAGCTCACCAGCAGATGACAAACACGCACTTCTTCCCACTTCCTTCAAGTCTTCATCCTCCTCCAGAGATCTGGGAACACATTCAAACACAGACACCAAAATGGAAAACAAATCACATCACGGATCCTCAAACCCAACTGGGAAGAGATCATCTCCTGTGCCGTCGGGGGAACTGCTATCCCAACATCCACCCAAATCCAACCGGCCTTCGCCAGCGCTCCCTCCTGCGGTTAGCCCCTTATTGAAGAAGAGGAGGGCTGAGGTGGGATGGGTCACCATCCCTACCATCCTGGTGGAGGACGAGCCCATGGAGGAGGAACGTCCAACAGATGACAACAAAGGCAAACACCGAACCGGACGAAGGGAAGGTCGAGTACGCAAAAACAAGCAAGGCCAGCCATTGTCTGCAGAGGAAGGTAGGTCTTAATGAGACAGTTTAGCGTTTATCCAAATCCAGAACGGAAGTGTTCAAAATAAAAACCTAATTTGTATTGTCTCCCTAGTATTTCAGTACAGAAATGGTAATGTTGGCCACCTTTTCAACACCTTTATGAACCAAACATTACTGCAGAGGCCAGATTTTTACTGTCAAACCAAAACCTTCTCACGCACTTCAGCTTAAATCTGGGATGTTTGTAGTTTTAAATGCCAACCTTGTCACTGCTGGTTAGATTTAGTGGTGGCCCCAATATGTACCAACATCAAATAATGATGTAATTGGGATTTAAAGAGCACCAGTATGTCCCAAAGAAAGACTATAAGTTAATCCACTCCAGATCAGCAAATCAGAGCTTGCATGAGGTGTAAAGTTACTGGTACAGTTTCTAAAGTAATCCTGTGCTACTGTAGGTCTGAGGTCAAAGTGTCAATAATTATAGAAATAGACAGTGGAATTTTCTCATGGTTGTGGTTTGACACATTAACTTAAATTATAGAAAGGTGTGTTTGAAGTTTTTTTTAACCAAAATATCACCAATGTCCTAAATGACACAAAGAAACTAATTGGTGGAACTTAATGTTGATGAAAAAGGATGAATGTGCATCTTTTGGGACAGACATGATCAAAATAGTGGAATAGGTAAAGTGGCTGGGTGTAATCTATTTTACTTAAAGGCCTCAAAACCCAAACTGGAACCAATAAAAAAAAACATTGACTCATTTTAGGACCAAATCTTCCTCTTTGTCTTCTATGAGGCTCATCTGATGACTCCTACATGTCTGCTGATGAAGAACCAGGAGAGGGACCAAGGTTTGTTAAGCCTCTCCAGGACGCCACGGCAGCATCTGGTTCAGAGGTCAAACTGGACTGCATCATCACTGGGAAGCCACCAATTACAGGTACCGCACAATCCACATGCTGGGCCCCAACCAACCATCTAACTAACCAACTATACATCCACATGATTTCTTTCTGCAAACAGAACAGGAAGATCATGAATATTCATGAAAATGTGTGCAAACTACAAAATGAGCCTCATTCATTGCACATCACTGCAGATTCTATCACCCTGTTCATCACTTTTTGTCCCATTGCATTTTTTTCCCTCAGTGACATGGAGGAAGAACAACGTAGAGCTACGTAGCAATGCTTTTTATACGGTCCAGACAAAAGGCGAGACGCACACTCTGCTAATAAAGGAGCTAAGGGCGCATGACGCCGGATCGTACTGTGTGACAGCTGCCAACATGGCGGGCACCTCCTCCTGCAAAGCTACCCTCTCCATCCATCCGGGTGAGAACATAATAAAACAAAACAAAAAAACAAGGAACAGAAAGAGTGAGCACTCCTCCCTCTCTAAACATCCTGCCTTTTAAAAAAAAAGCCTGACCTCACCTCCTGCTCTGGATTTAAGAACACACCAAAGTTGTCCGGACACTTTAAGGCAGCCTTGGCATTCAGAGTCACGAGAAAACAAAACAAACTCCTTTCAAGAAAGGAGTTCTGCTGTAAATGTGCCGTCGGTGGACAATGTGTTCATGTTGTGAAGAGCTTGTACTGAGTGTTGATTGGGCTCATGAAAACACACCATTTTGTCAACGAATGGAAGTGTGTGTCTGAGCCAGCAGCTCCAGGCCTCGGCTGCCATATTAGGCCAGTGAAGCCTGGCTTACGGGGGTATTTTTAGCCAGGCCTCTTGTTCTCGCTGGTGATTGCCGTCTACTTCATGTCCCTCTGTGAGATTGCTGCTGAGATCAGGGAAGGTTTTCGCCACCTCAGATTTCACACTGGAGGCCTTGGTGGTGATGGAGCAGACTGACTATTTGGGGGGTTGTGCATCACCTTAGCTTGATGTCATATTCATTTTTTTTGTTTTTTGTCTCGACAAAATCCAGACCTAAATTGAAAATATTGAATTACAGGAGATCTAAAATGTTTTTGAAGTATTCTATTTTTATCCACTCTGCCCTTACTTCAGTGGGTTAGGTAACTTGGATGTGACAGAGCTGGGAAGTAAAGGACAGAACAGATGATGAATGTGGAAGGGGATTGTTACAGTTGTATAAGAGATGGCAGGTTTACATAAATACTTGTGGGATTTATTCCCTGGTGCACAGACGCCTCTCAGACATCTGAGTCTAGGTAGGTAGTTTTATTCTTTCCTTTGTAATATCAACAATTCAACAGAATACCCAACTATAGCATTCAGAGGATATTTCACATCTAGAACCATCTGCTTTCAGGCTTAGGTTTGAATTTGTTTCTCGTCTAGCCTGAGCCAGTAGATTGTCCTGTTTTAGTCTTATTTTGCAGCTGCCACAATCCTTTCTTCCCCTTCTTTTCTCAATGTGCACCAACTGAGGCCGAAACTGAGATGGAATGTGTTGATGTCTCCAGGAAATCATTTCTGACAGCAGCAAACCCCAAATAGAAGGCGCTTGAAAACACATTTTCCTCCTTTGGAAACAGTGGGAATAAGGGGACGACTTATTCCCTGACCCACATTGTGTCATGTGGGTCAGGGATTGAGGGATTTATTCATTTTCTGTTTAGCTTGGCTCATTTCCTATGTGTGATGTTCATGTTCGCATCTTTAAGTCTCTACACCTCAAGAATTACAGACTCGGCAGTTAAACAACATAAGCGTCTGCTGTAGAATTAAAGCCAAAGTTATTCTTTAAATGTTTTTATTATATTTTCCATGTTACTATATGACAGTTATGTTTATTTATCAGAAGCCGGTCATGTGCAGCTTGGGAAATCGTCTTCAGCTGTGATGGTCAGCAGTCCAGTCCAGTCAGATGAAGAATATCTTAGTCCTCAGGAGGAGAAGATGGAGTGTGGAGACTCACCGTCCTTGAATAAAGGCATCTCCTTCAGTGAACCTCCCTCATTTCAGGTAAGAATTTGTATAAAACTAAATCAACTCAAATCTTTTCAGTTTGTAGTTGGCTGTAGAGCATAGAGAGCTGGGGAACAAAGGGTTCCCATGATTTAACCCAGACTTAAATCATCAACTCCAAGTATCAGATGCAGAGGTGTTGAGGACATCTCTGGACCCTAGAGTAATGGAGATGTGTTTCTGGAGCGATGAATCATGTCTCTGTCTGGCTTTCCCAATCGATGAGTCTGGGTTTGGCAGAAATCAGAAGAACAGAGCTCTCCTGACTACATTGTGTCATGTGTTAAATTTGGGGAAGAGGGTGGTGGGTGTGAATTTTTTTTCAGGACTTGGCTCGGCAACTTAGTTCTACTGAAAAGAACTCCTGGTGTGTTCACACTAGGAGTGTGTTTAGTCATGTTTAATGGATTAAAAAGTCATTTTTAGTCCTGTTTAATCTAAACAGTTTATTTGCCTAGAAAGTCTGATTCATTCAAATAAAAAGCCAGATTCATTTCGGGAGGTGTGAATGCTCAATCCAACTCTGATCTCGGTTCAGAAGTAAACTTAGATGTGGTTTGAATGCATGAGTGGAGACCTCTCAAAAAGCAGGAAGTGAAGTATAGCACAGGGCATTCTGCGTAAATACAACCAAAATAAACACCCGTGTCTGGTGTTAGAGTGAGAAATGACTTATAGTCTCTTACCAAAACCAAAGAGAAATCCTACAACTCTCTAAAATCTGGTTTTCATTTCATGAAGAAGGAAGTTGCGCTCAGTGTCGTTTTCAGAAGTTTTTGTGTCATTTTTGTCACTACTTCTTGGTGCAGCGCCACCACAGGTGGTGAGGAGAATCATCCGTTCTCCATGCTGAGTTCTTATGTATGAGGCTAAATAAGAGTCAGTGAGTTGAATTCATGAATTCCATTTATTAATACCAAAATACAGCTGGTCCATTATGGCCTGCTGCCTCTAAGAGCTAACAGGCAAATGGCGCCCCACAAGAATTTCCCATTCCCTTTGTCTCTCTGAGCTACTCCCTAAAAGGGCGTTACCTAGTATGTCATCTTTTACCTCAGCTCTCATTTGCATTTCCTAACATGTGATTTCCTTTAGGTTTAGCTTAGCTTTAGCTTAGCAACTAGCTAAAAGAGATGAAAGGAAAACAGAATTATTTATTCTCAACAGTGGGAACAAGTTGGTCAAATGGTTTGGTTCATCTGACAAGGTGCATAAAACCATCCATCATTATCTATACCTGCTTATTGTTGCTTCTCCCAAGTGTTACCAACTGCATTCTTTTGTATTTGTGTCCTTCAATTCTTGAATGGAGTGGTTCTGAGCAGCGGTTCAGTTAACCATGGTTTGATCATTTGAAGGTGCCCCCTTGTGACCAGTCAGTGATCGAAGGTCAAGAGGTTGTTATAGCAGCAAAAATCAGAGGGCATCCCAAACCCATGGTGTTATGGTGAGACCTTTGCTTGATTTCTTCTGTCCAAACAAGGTCACCATCATGTCATATACACACTCTTCAAAACACTGCGACATAAATGATTGTGAGAGCTGCTTTTTGTTGACCAAGGCTGAAGGACAGAGCGGTGGTGAAGGCAGGGGGCCGCTTTGCTGTGCGAGAAATTGCAGATGGCACCTGTGAAATGAGAATCAGCGCTGCTCACAGGTCAGACACAGGATTGTATGTTTGTAAGCTCCACAGTGAGTGTGGAACCAAGCAGGTGGAGTGTAGAGTGGAGGTCAAAGGTGAGTAATAAAGTACTTTTTGATTAGGATTAGGTTGTGTGGATATTTTCCTTCTACTGCTACATTTTTTCTTTTCTTTTTTTTCTTTTGACCGAGCAGCAGCTGCTCAGATAGAGCTCAGAATCACCAGAGCAGCTGAAGATGTAGCAGTCAAGGCTGGGGAATCGGCCATCTTTGAGTGCCACATCACTGGGCCACCAGATGTGGAGGTTGACTGGCTGTCTAATGGAAAGCTCATCCAGCCAGCACTGCTCAACTGCAAGATGCATTTTGATGGAAAGAGGTGAGTTTGAATTTGGTGGAGACTTTTGTATGTTTGTTAAACACTAGAAATAAAGTAGCTTATGACAGACTCTGCTGTTTCTATGCTCTGATGAACTGTAGAACCTGACTGATACTCTTAAACCTGCTCATGTATGTCTAATATCTTTTAAAGCTCAATCTTATTTGGTTAATTTAGGACACTTTCAGACTGTGCTGATCAGGAAATGGTTTTAAATGTTGGTGCATAGCCTTCCACTAAAAATAGATTGAAATGAACCATGGGAAGTAAAATGAACAAAACTAACATTATAGTCTTGTGTTGTTTTAATTGCTCTGATAGTGTTGGACCGGCAGTGAGAATTGGGTCATAAATTTATCCCTAAATTAAACATTTTAAAATAAGAAAAACCTTATAAAGTTACAACTATTGGAAATTGAAAGAATTCCTGGATCAACAGAGCTATAAGCTGTTATTAGTCTCATTAGAGAACTAGAAACAGCTTTTTCTTTAGGTCAAGGTCAGGAAAAGGTTTTTAAAATATGGATTGATAAAAACCAAAACTGAGGTGTTTCTTAAGAAGAAAAGTTATTTTTGATTATTTAGGGAGTTAATCACAACAACCCAATCTAAACACAGATATGGTCCTGCTGTTCTTTCTAATGCTGCTTCTAATGATGATGATGGTTATGTGACTGGAGCCAGAATGGTGCCATTACATTGAGGATGAATACATTTGCGTACAAAGTCCTCATAAGGTTATCACTAAGGAGGACTAAATACATCCATGGGTCAACAAAGCCAAACTTGTAGCCTTTACAAAGCAGCTAACCATGTAGCCATGCTAACAGGGGAAAAAAGACCAAGTTGGTGTTCTCCCTGCTTTTGTCTCTGCCTTTTGAATTTTGCAATTGGTCCAACCCCCCTGGGGCATTTTTAGGTGCCGCCTAATGCTGAATTCAGTGCATGAGGATGACAGTGGGACATACACCTGCAAACTGAGCACTGCCAAAGGTAAATCCCAATTGCTGATGAGGAGAGAGGAACTTAAATAAATACTTTTAGAAAAAACACATTTACCAAAACAACATTTACCTCCAGAGGAGCTGACCTCAAATGCAAATCTAAGAGTTGCTCCATCCAGAGAACCTCTGTTCACTCGCAAACTGGACATCCTGGAGGTCATCGAAGGACGCACCGCACGCTTTGACTGTAAGGTGAGCGGATCACCTGCCCCGCGAGTCACATGGATGCATTTTGGTAAGGAGCTTCAGATTGGTTGTGTGTCTTGGAATTTTGAAATCCTGAACACTAAACAAAAAAAAGAAAAAAAAGAAACACCGACTTCTCATCAAAGAAAATGCTTTTTAAATGTTCTGTTTCACTACTAACTTCTGTCAGAGACACGAGTGGAAGAGAATGATAACATTCGCATCCTTCAAGAAGGAGGTCGTCACTCACTTGTCATCTCCCACGTTAGCAGCGACAAGGAGGGTTTCTACACTGCAATCGCTCAGAACGTTTACGGAAAGTCCGAATGTACTGCAGAGCTCTATGTGCAGGAATCACGGGCTGCCATCTCCTCCCACATGTAAGAGAAGTTATTCCTATATAGTACCTTACACTACTCTACACACCCATTGAACTTCTCCCTATTCATGATGTGACAGACGTCCACAATTTCCAATGTACTTTTTGGAATTTGCAATTGTGATAGATAGGGCGCAGGTGCAGGAGCAATAGTTGGGTGGTTTCAATCGAAGCAGCAGTGGATACACTTCCACTAACAGCAGAGCTAATTCTTTTGTTTAGCACGTTAGCATTTTTGCTAACTTTGATAGCATTTAGCATTCTTAGCTTCTCCTAAATAACATTTTTTAGATAAATTCTAAAACGCTAATTTACTTGGCTATATTTTTTTAAAAATTGAAGAATACAACATTTATATGAACAACCAGCATAATTAATATTACATGCAAAAATTCACATATATGAATTGCTTTTTTATGTGGTGGGTATCAACATGTTTGATTTTATAGCTTTAGCATTAGCTTATGATAAATACCATGTTGTTATATGGCTTTAGCATTAGCTGCGCTAATGTTTATGACTAGTGCTTTAAGGTTAGCAAAACTAACACTTTTGGTTAGCAGTGCCAACCACTTGATAAAATCATATATATGTGTTAGAATGGAATAGTCAAAGTCATCACTTGAGAATCAGTTGCAAGCCGCTCTCCATGCAATCCAACTGAGTTTGAACTATTTTGCAGAGAGGAATGGGCAAAATGTAAAGTTTCTCAATTTGTGAAGCAGGCAGAGATAAAATCCAGAAGAACTGCAGAAAAATGTGGTTTCATATATCGTTTTCTCTTCCTCTTCAAAATCAGAAAGTGCCTCATATAAAATCCTGTAAATATACATTGTAGCTATTACATGAATAGCTAAATTGTTATGTCAACTTTGAATTCATGTGATTTACAATCTTTCTCAAGGGCCAAGTTAGAGAAGATGCCATCCATCCCTGAGGAGCCTGAGGTTCTGGAAAACGAGTTGGAAAGAAGAACCATGCCAGATTTTGTCAAGCCTCTGGCGGATGTGGAAGTAATCGAAGGGAAGGAAGCCGTGCTGAAATGCAAAGTGTCCGGCCTGCCCTACCCAACCATTGCCTGGTACCACAATGGCAAACGGATTGAGAGCAGTGAGGAGCGCAAAATGACTCAGCGTAAGCGGGCAACCAGATCACAAACCAATCAAAGGCCTCCCTGAAGGAAGTAAGGAAGAAATTTGCATGTGTTCTCCAGACAGGGATGTCCACAGTCTGGTCATCCGGGGTGCCTGCCACACTCACGGGGGCGTCTATAAGGCGGTCATCTCCAACAAAGTGGGCAAGTCGGCCTGCTATGCTCACCTCTACGTTACAGGTAGGGAGTGTTCTGAAGTTCTGCTTGAAAAGTTTTCAGGATTTTTTTCTGATGTTTTGTTTATTTAAACCAGATATTGTTCCTGACCCTCCTGATGGTCCTCCGGTTATTGAAGCCATCACAGGGAAAACCATAACCCTCAGCTGGAAGCGACCGAAGAGGCTCGACCCTTCACTGGGTAGGTTCTTTACTCAGCATATTTATGAGAAACGTTTTATCCAAAGAAGGAATGCCTATAAATATTTTACTACCACAGGTTAAGGTTTAAATTTAAGCTAGCTTCAGATGTCAATTATAGCCCGCATGTGTTTGATGTTTATATCTGGATCTTAAGCACCTCACTGTCTTTGGCTGTCACCCAGGTGACGTACATAAACAGCATGTGTACTTGCAGATGCCAGCTCGTTGCTGTTCATGGTCCAGCAGCAGCCTCTGGGATCTATCCAGTGGTCCGTTGCGGCTTCTAACTTGAAGGAAACAAATTACACTGTCACCTCCCTGTCCAAGGGAGTCCGTTATGCCTTCAGGGTCCTGACATCAACCGGGAAGACTCTGAGCAAACCTTCCCCCTCCACTGATCTGGTCCAGCTACTGGACAAAGGTACTACATCTGCGCCTGCTCCTGTCAAATCAGCTCTGAGGAGAAATAGAACATGTTGTTCAACCCTATCCTTCTCCAGGGCCATATTTGAGGAAGGCACCAGTTATTCTGGACAAACCCGACATTGTGTTTGTGGTGGAGAACCAACCTGCTAACGTCACTGTCACGCTGAACCATGTACATGCAGTGGTGACCTGGAAAAGGTTTGTTAATATCATAAACATGTTTCTTTTAATGACGTCACATCAAAAGTTAAGTATTAAATCTGAGTTACTAGAGAACCCCTACCGACTTCACTGTTATTGACACAAGGGTGTAAAGAAAATGGATGGATGGAGTTGTTACAGAATCGGATGTAGTTTCTCCATTTATTTTTATACTGTCAGTTTTATGTAAAATACGTCTATTTTAAATAAAAGTTACATACCCCAGCTTTAACATGTTACAAGATATTTTGCTTCTTTGACATTGTGAACTAGTCATAGCAATTTTTTTTAATTATCATTTCTACCAGTGGTGGGTACCGCTAACTCAAATGTTAGCTGCGTTAATCCTAAAGCCCTAATCCTAAGAGCTAGCTCTGCTAATGCTAAATCGCAATACAAACATTTTGTTTAGCTAAATGCAGTTCAAAGAATATCTGCCCTGGAGTTAATTTTAAACTTTTGATTCAGTTAATTTTGATACAACTTACATGTTCTAACTATCTTAAAACATCAACACAGATGTTGAACTTTATTTTCTGGATACAAAATAGTCAGCTAAAGTATTGCTGTAGAATTTATTTGGAAAAATAAATTCAAGAGAAGTTTGGTGCATTAAACGCTTTGAAAATAAACAAAAGCGCTGAGGGAGAAGTTTGTGCTAACAAGCTAATAGCCTTGCTAGCATCTCTTAGCATCTCTGAAGAAAGTAGAGGCGCTAAGAAAGCAAGTCTGCTTCCTTCAGGAGGGGAGTTGCATTGATTAACAGACTAGGAGTGTATGAGATGAGCATGCCAGACGACGATCAACATACCCTGAGGATCCAGCGGGTCAGAACCTCTGACATTGGCCAGCTGGTGGTCACCGCTAGCAACCAGTTTGGCAGCGACCTCTGCACACTGCAGCTAGCCATGGCAGGTCAGCTACCTCCAGCATTTAATCAAGAAGTCAGAAAACATCCTGCACCGCAGCTGTTTACCTCTTCGTTTTCTTCTGTAGTTCTTCCTAAATTTGAATCTATCATGGAGGATGTGGATGTGCACATTGGGGAAACTTCACGTCTGGCTGTGGTGGTGGAGGGGAAACCAGATCCAGATATTCTGTGGTTTAAGGTAATATTTCCCAACCTTTAAATAAATTTTGGCATCATCAACTCTAGTTAATCTTTCTTGTTGTTCTGCTGCAGGATGATCTCCTTCTCTCTGAGAGCAGCCACTTCACGTTTGTGTATGACGACCCGGAATACTCCCTGGTCATCCTGAGTGCCAAGCAGGAGCACTCAGGCGTGTACACCTGCACCGCCAAGAATGTGGCTGGCTCCGTGTCCTGCAAGGCCGAGCTTACGGTTCACACAGGTGCAAAGTCGCATGTTGAAACATGCTTGAAAACAAACGGCATGATTTAAATGCACAGAAAAGCAGCCTCTGTGTGAGATTTACAGCTTAGATGAAAGCCTGTCTTTGTGCTGCAGCAGATTCTATCTGTGTCAGCTAGTTGTTGTTGGAAATTGCTCTGTAAATCTGCTCCATATGGGAGAAACCACAAGGCGTTCTGCAGCTATAATATGAAACCATCTGTCACTGCTCTGACACACACTCACACACACACTGTATTAAACGCCTGTGTCTGTGCTTCATGCAGAGCGAAAAGCGGCAACTGAGCCAGTGGAGGACGAGGGGACCATTCTGAGGAAGATGAGGCATTTGACGGATTATTATGATGTTCACAAAGAGATAGGGAGGTGTGTGTGTGTGTGGAGGCGCACAGCTCCCCTCAGACATGGCAGGGGCAATGACATTAATAGTTGTGTGAGCACTCAGGGTCGGCCTGAAGGGGGCGGGGACTGCATATGATGGTCGGAGAGGGGATGGGTTTGAACCTGCTTCACAACAGCAGACAGAAAGGGAGATGACTCACCATCCTGTGTGGAGTGAATGCATTAGCTGGCAGATGATTTGTTTTGGTTCGTCTCGGTGGAGACGACCGTTTGCTGAGATTGGTGAAGCCTTTAAAAATGGAACACAGGCCAAAGCTGATTTTCGACTAGCAAAAAAGGAGCAATGGCAACAAATTCAGATAATTTCTTGCAACAAATAAAATGGAAAACAAAACATGATATTCTTTATTTTCATTGAAGGGTAGAAAATAATTAAATATATATAGAAAAAGAGGAAAACTATTGATAGGATGAACAAAGTCTGTTGACAAAAACAGCTGGAATATTATAGCAAGATGAAATGAGTTACAATCCAGAACAAAGTTCATAAAATACTTTCTGAGTTCTCAGCTGTAAGCTCCAACTCCCTAAGGACTTCTGGAGGAAAAAATCAATAAAAATCATGTTCAAGATGCAACTGGCAAAAAAGATGCAGTTTAATTCCCCCTTTCTAATGTTGCCCATATGGTCTGAATCACAACCAACCATCATATATCCAATCAGCCTCCTCTCTATGCCTCTTTGTATTTTCTGAATCCTAATTGCTGCCAAAATCAAGAAATCACATTAGAAAAACTAGGATTGACCTTATTGCTTTCAGGATGTGATGTAATCAGCTGTTTTGCTTATGAAAGCATTTGATTGGTCAGTTCTCAGCAAGCAGTTCCTCCTCCAGGTCTACTGCCTTTAAAGCTTCCTTGCTTTTTTGTTGTAAAGAAGAGAGTAAGAGAGGTGACAGCTCTGAGCGACTCTGTCCATCGTCAGTCTCTAATTGTATCACCTTTGTAACAGGGGGGCCTTCTCCTATGTGAAGAGAGTGACGCTGAAGTCGGAAAAGGCGGATTTTGCGGCTAAATTCATCTCCGCCCGAGGAAAGAGGAAAGCTTTGGCCCTCAGGGAGATGGATCTGCTTTCTGAGCTGGACAATAACCACATCCTTTACTTCCATGATGCTTTTGAGAAGAAGAACATAGTGGTGCTCATCACAGAATTGTATCCTTTAATTACGACTTTCCAGCTTTTAATGTTGAGCTGCATTTGGAGAAAACATATTAATATCTTCCATTTTACCTACAGTGATGCTTCAGAATCTTTTTGATTTACTCCAAAATAAAAGTGTGCTTAAATAATTCTGTAAAGGTTGGAAACCATTGATTCTGATGAGCTCTGCAGTTCCCTGGAGGCATGAATGAAGCAGCCCAGCTTCTCTTCTCTGACTCATGGCTGCTGGGTGGAATTAGCAATAGATAGCATGTGTGGGAGTGTTGCTCATTTGTAATTCATCTCTCACAAAGTCGACTCTCGGCTCAGGTTTTCCCTCAACTGTTGTTTGAAGATGTCACGAAGAAATGTTGGAAAGGATGGCCAAGAAATCGACCGTCATGGAGAAGCTGGTTGGTGCTCCTCTGCTTGATGCACTGCAGTGATATTATGTAACACTACTTTACAGATGATCCGTTTTATCTTCCAACCTGCAGATTCGCAGCTGTGTCCAACAGATCTTGGAGGGGCTTAAATATCTGCACCAAAAAAATATAGCTCACCTTGATGTGAAGGTATCATTGCATCCCAAATGCTGTTTATTGAATTAGAGGTACATCAGAAGTGTGGTACTCAGAATTATTGTCTGAGGGTCAAGGTGAGGTCCAACAGATTTACTTTCAGAAGTGGAGCAATACAGCTTTCATCATTGATATACATACATGTAAAACTTTATTATAAATTCCTGCGGGGAGGGGGGGGGGGGGTAAATTGGGGAAAAAACGAGAAAAGAAATGTATAAAGGTAGGAAAAGGCTTAAAATGAAAGAATAAGAAAACCAGAGGGCATAGAGAGAAGACAAGTCAACACCATAGAAGTCTCTACGCCTACAGAAAGAGAGAAAACAAAACCAAGAAACCACAGCAACAAACAATGTATTAATTAGTAAGCACTACCAAATCATACTCTGTCTGCATTTAAATCCTCTTTAGCCTGAAAACATTTTAATGGCCAGTCCAGGAAGTGACCTCATCCGCATATGTGACTTTGGGAATGCCATCAAATTGGACACTTCAGAGGACTATTACTGCAAATACGGCACACCGGAGTACGTTGCTCCAGAGATCATTAATCAAACTCCAGTTTCCATAGCCACAGACATATGGTAAGCCAGCTGTCTCCAAATCCAGATAAATGACTCCTCACTCTGTTAGCATGATTAGCATGTTGTAATCCACTTCCTGTTTTCCACAGGCCTGTCGGAGTCATCACTTATCTCTGGTATGTTCTGGAGCTTCCAGTTTAGTCCTGAAATATGACAAATTCAGAGTAAAAGATCCCTAACGTCTTCTGATTCTAGTCTGACTGGGGTGTCTCCGTTTGCCGGTGAGAATGACAGAGCCACTGCGCTGAACATCAGGAACTACAATGTGGCGTTTGAGGAGGGCATGTTTTCAGAGATTTGCAAAGAGGCCAAAGGATTCGTCATCAAGCTTCTGGTGGTGGACAGGCTGTGAGTTTCTTGTAGATCTAATCAGAGCCAGTCATAGAATTTGAGCCTTTACTATGCCATAAAGGCATACCTTGTATAATAGACTGTATAATACCGGTACAGTGGACCCCGGTTTATTCACAGTATATTAATCGCAGATTTTTTGGTGGAAGGTAACTCCAAATCATTGGTGGAAATTTTGCCTAGATATTTTTGTAGACCATATCTAATATTTTCAAAAGATAATGTTACCTGACATGCTATTGGCTGGTTTTTGCAAAACAACCAATCCAGGAGTGCCAGTCATTTTCTTCTGCACTAATTGGCTGTACATCCAAGAGCAAATCAGAAAAGATATTAGCTTTCATGCTGTGGTAGTACTGAGATTGTTTCAACAATCGATATCTTAAGGTATATTTAGTGTTTGAACTATTTAAATAGGCAGTTAGAAGCATTGTTAGAGGTGGGGGTTTGAGCTGTTTGCAAAAATGTAGCTGTTTGCAGGGGCTGTTGTTGATAACCCCCACAAATATCAAGGGTCCTCCGTATATACCTCTGATTTGCATGTAACTGTACGTGGCTGTACATGGTTTTAATTTATATTAAAAGTGTGGTGTTCATTTATATTCTGCCCCCTTTATTTGAATACTCCTTAATAAAATCCAGTACAAACAATTGCCTTCAAAAGTCAGCGAGTAAAGAGAGTCCAGCGGTTGGTGCTAAATAGATTGGATTGAGCTAATGCAATGGCCGAGTCAAAGTCCAAGCCAAAATCAATTAGAGAATTTGTGGACACACTTGTTCATCAAAATCTTAATGTGTTTACAATGGCTGGGCACTCAGTTTGTAAAGGTATGTCCCAAAAGATACAGTCTGTTGACTCTGGTGGTCTGCAGGTGTGCATGCCACACTTTTCAGATTTTTTTCGAAACCTAAAATCATGCCCATTTTTTATTGCACCATACTGTAAATCATTTTTGGTTTTATCTTTTATCATTCCTCTCTCAGGAGGCCAAATGCTATAGAGTGCCTTCGTCATCCTTGGTTCAAGGTGAGCCATTATTTTAAAAAGTAATTCCTATGATAAGATTTATTTATATCATTGCTGAAAGTCAATCATAATCCCCCTGTTTGCCTTGCCTTACAGTCACCTACAAATAAGAGCATTAGCACGTCTATGCTAAAGCAGGTTATTGCTAGAAGGTGCTGGCAGGTAAGACAAATGTCAGATTGTTACATTTGTAAATCAATAATGTGGACATAAAGAAACTCCAAGGTGGAATTGCCATTAAAAAAAAAAAAAACATTTTCTCTTCATTGAACATTGAAGTTACTAGAATAATCACAACAAAGCCATGAATACTTCAGTGTCTCCACTAAGTTGTTTGTTTCACCCACAAATGCATTGTCCTTACAAATTTGAAGTGATATAAACTTTCCAGTAGTATACGAGATTTATTTCCACAAAGCATTACTACAACAAAGTCCAAACACAGATTTCATGTTGTTTACACACCAGATGTAATGATTCCAGATGTTTGTGTTGATTATTTCCAGCGTTCCCTTATCAGCTATAAATCCAAAATGGCATTGAGGTCCATCCCAGAGCTCCTCAAAGACTCCTCCAGCCATGTTTCAATCGCTGTTGCTCGTCATTTGAAGGGAAGCTCCCCGCCTCCTTCTTCCTCGTCCGATTCAGACGCAGACGTGGATGAGCTTCCATTTATTCCGATGCCCCTGTCCTTGGTTTTCTCTGGATCCAGGGTCTCACTCAATGAGATTCCAGGGGACGAGGATGTCAGATGGCCGACCGTCTATGTTAATAGTACAAGGACAAAGGAAAATATGGATGTAGATGGTTCTACGGCAGAGGGAAATAAAAACATTACAGATGAAGTGGAAACTCAAAATGAGGAGAGAACAGGAAAGGCTAAACGAGAAGACCTGAAGAAAGGATCAAGCATAGAGTCTAATGAAGCACAGACAAGAGCCAGGAGGGCTACCATGAGGAGAGGCAGCTCTGCTGATTCAGCTCTGCTTCTCCACATAGACCCGGAGGAAGGAAATGCAAATGAAGACTCAGGGGCAGGTACAAAGAGCCTAAAAAAGGCAGTTTCTATGGAACTGCCCGATCGAAGCCCGAGCCCAGGGGCTACAAAGTTAAGTCAGGAAGATTATACCTTAAAACTTGAGCTAATGAGGCAACGGCTGCTCAGGGGAGGAAGCGTTGATAAAAAAATGAGCGGCTTACGGGGGCCGCTGTTTGAAACCCTTGGCATAGATGAGGAAAGGCAGACGGGGTCTCTTGAGAGAAGTTTGAGAAGATCCAGAGCAGGACTCTCAACACTTACCAGAGCAGCATCTTCTGAAAGGTCAGGAGATGACACACCAAAGACCAAGGTTTTTTGTAAAAGTGTTTCCTTCTCACAGGGGGATTCAGAGCCCATGCCCCTGCACCGTAGGTTTGGAGCCCCCTTAGAGATTCCATCTGCTTCCACTGCTAAGACAGAAGGGAAGAAACTGCAGGAGGCTATTTCAATGTCTGTGCTGACTGAACAAGCAACACTGGAGTCTGAATCAACCTCACCCAAAGAAAAAGCTTCCTTTGCTCTCCCAGCAACAGAAAAAATGGACCAAGAGCAAAACAATTGCAATGTGGAAGGTTCAGATATAGATGAAGCAACAGAGAAAAGGACCAAAGCAGATTGTGAAACATCTATTATTACTTCTAAAATTGCTAGAGAAGTGACAGAGAAAGATAACAGCATGAATGAAAAGTTTAGAGTTTCCGTACTATCTCAAACATCGACCAAGGGCCAATCAAAATCCCTTGCTGCTGCACACAAACCAAATGACTCAAAATCCTCAGATACATCTTCCTTGCCTGAGCATTCAGCTGTATTTGCCAAAGTAGCAACAGGAGACAGACCTGCTGGTTCTTCTTCCTCGTCTTCAAACCCCGATCTTACCATCATCCCTCGGCAACCCGTTCTCAGAACAGACATCAAAGACATTGATTCAGTGGAAGTTTTTGAGGCTAAGTTTAAGAAGCGTGAGTCATCCTTAACCCGTGGCCTCCGCAAACTGACCAGAAACAAGTCTGAGGAGAAATCCCCGGTGTTGAGCCGAAAGACTGTTGAAGGGGGTGAGGACATTTACAGGCCAGGGCCAAGAGGGGCGCCACTTGAAATAGCATCTAAGGGAATTCCAGAGAAATCTAAATCTGTCCAAGACTTAAGAGAGGTAGATCAGGAAACAGGCCTGAGTCTGATTGGGAGGTTTTCATTGAAAGGCAAGAGGTCAACATCTACTGAGAAAAAGGAGGAAAAGCAACCAAATGTACAAGAAACTGCTGTAAGTAAGAGGGTTTCATGGGCTATTGGTCGTAGTAAGTCTCTGGACACAAAGGATCTGGTTGCTGCTGGAGCAAGAAAGCAGTCTGAAGAGCGACAATCTGGGAAAGCTGAGGAGTCCTCGGTTTCTGCCATGAGACGAAAGTTTGAGTCCAAAGTGGCAGGAATCTCTGCAAAATTTAGGAGCCAATCAGAGGAGAGGAAGGCTAAAGAGACTGGAGGTAGTCAGAAAGACCTTGAGGAAAGGGATCTCAACAAGGTCTCGGAATCCCCTGTTCTTGCAATACGTCACAAGTTTGAGAACAAAGTGGTGGGAATATCCTCAAAAATCCGCAGTCAGTCAGAAGAAAGGAAAGTAGATGGAGAGGGTAGGAACACACCTCTGTTTGCTCGGCACCGTCATTCCCACTCTGAAGGTCGTGGACTCAAAGGGATGGGTATCCCTGAAAATCAACTGGCAAAACAAACCGGTGCTGCTGCATCAAAGGAATCCATTGAATCCACCTCCAGCATCCATTCTGATAAAGCCTTAGAGAGTGACAGACGATCGCGGTGGGACCGGTGGGGCTTAACCAGGACCAGGAGAGACAAAACTCCCTCCCAGTCTGACTTACCCTCAACTGCACCCAAAGAGGAAGGTCTGACAAAAAGCCAGCAGTTTATCCGCTCTGCTTCTGATTTTGCTCCAGTGTTCCACATCAAACTAAAGGACCATGTCCTATTAGAGTGGGAAGCTGTGACTCTTAGTTGCCTTCCAGCTGGCAGTCCACACCCAGAGATTACCTGGATGAAGGGTAACCTTAACTCCGGAAGAGACTGATCTGTACAACTGAAATCCATTTAAACAGTGAGACTGATTTCTTTCCCGTTTTCCCACATTCCAGATCGGAAACTTTTAGAGGTGACAGATAACCGGATCAAGCTGCTGAACCACCCAGATGGCAGGCAGCTTCTTACCATTCAGAAGTGCGGCCACAGAGACGCTGGGGTGTACGAATGCGTTGCTACTAACCCAATCGCTACTGTCACCACCTCCTGCACGCTTTCTATAGCTTGTAAGTGGTTTCTGTTTTCCCAAAACTAGTGAAATACATTGTGTGGATATGCTACTAGAGTGGGGATTTGGGAATGCTAAAATGCATGCACAAGTTTGCAAATTACAACATTTTCCTCACAGAGGAGCAACCCACTCATTTACATTTCAAAGACATACAGTCATTTTCCTAATGACACATTTTATATTATCGAATTTTAATTGCGCCGAAATTGGTATGAATGCAGCTGACAAGAATATTAACGGCAGCAGATTAGCTGTATGTAATGTAACCTAATGGAGTTTTACTTTTCCGATATTTAGCACCTAATTAAGACAAATCTTTTTTTGCTGTTGTACTGATGATGACTGAAATTATCTTCTGTGGCTCATATCCAAACAATAAACCATGGAAATGAGACTAAAACATAATGGTAGCATTTTAAGACTGGAAAATAATTAATCTGATCAAAATACACTGTAGTGGTTCATTTATTGTTGACCTAATTACCGTAAGTTAATGCTTTATATTTTTTTTTTCTTTTCTGATCCTACAAAATCATTTAAGGATAATTTCATTGGGGAATTGAGCTGCTATGTAAAGTTTTTTCCACAGATTTTCCTTACTGGTTCTGGGTAAAGCAAATAAGATAATTAATATGTCTGCAGAAGAAGAGGACAACAACAAGTAAAGCTTGATTTTGATTTATTTAGAGACGGACAATAAAATTCCATCATTTCAGCAACCATACCTCTCTTCATGGTGTTCATGCACACCTCTGAAATATTATAACTATGTGGAAAAACATGGCAGATAAGCAAGAGCTCCTCTTGGTGGAGGTTCACAAAGACAAAACATCTTAATGATTTTGATACCATGTATTGCACATCTTTAGATACACTAGGTGGTGTAACTTCTGTTCCTGTTCTGACCAGCATTGGTACTCTAATGTGCGTGGCTTTCTGATTCTTCTTTAGTTTCTCTGTTCCAGAGCTGAAGAAACTGCCTCCACCTAGTTCTGAAAACTCTAAACAAGCAGCTTTCTGTTTAGCTACATTCTTTAGTCTCTCCAACAACTTTTAAATATATATTTGACTCACAAATATTGATTGCCTTATAATGATTCTTAAATATCCTTAATCTTTTTTTAGTTTATGTTCCTGTTAAGCACTTTACGTATTGATGGTGCTCTACAAATAAAATTGGCATCAGCCGAGGTTAAAGAACTTGTTAGCCCCTGAAATATAGTAATTACTGCGGTACTTTTTAACTGTAGGCTTATATTTATAAGGCTTATTTCTGAATAGTCTGTCCTTTGATGACTCATCAGTGTAATTGGTGTAAAAACAGCTTGACTTAAATGTTGGCTACTTTCACTAAGTGTGTGCCAGAAGAAAGAAAATAGGTTTCATTTAGAAATTGCATAAAATGGCATTATTGGACTTTTTTTTCTTTTTTTTTTAAGGTTTTGTTGGCTCTAGTGGCCTTTATTTGAAAGTAGTTCAACAAGAAAGAGGGTAGTATGAGAGGGGGAAGACATGCGGCAAATGTCGCCAAGCCGAGAATCAAACCTGCGATCACCGCCATAAGTGCTTTGCCCTTGCTCCACCACAGCAATCCACTATTGGACATTTTTAACATTCTAGCATAAAAGCTGCTAAAAATTAAGAAATGCTCATTGCCATTTTTAATAAATACTTGCCTGATTTGTTGGGTTTTTTTCCTCCATCACTTCTCCCATTCTTCACTCAAGCTGTTCCAAAGCGACCCGGAACCCCTGAAGTAGCTCAGACGTACAACAACACGGCTCTGGTTCTGTGGAAGCCGTCGGACACAAAATCTCCCTGCAGCTATTCTCTGGAACGGAGAAGCGAAGGTGAGCAAGTCGGAAAAACATCCTTGGAGCGTCTGGGATGAAATGCCTGTTTTATTTGTGTGCTACTGTCAGTAACATGGAGAGGTAACAGTGAATCATTTCAGGCCCAGAGCTGGTGTTTGACAGGCTCTGAATATGAGGGATTCTGTTGGGAAATGAGCTCCCCGATCCATAAAGAGTGTCTTAATGACATCCAATGAGTCAGCTTTCAAGTGGATAATGGTTTTAGCAGAGCTTTCTATCTTCACTCTGCATCAGCGCTGGAGTGCGCTGGTTACAGATACAGATACTTCATGGTTGCTAGGCAGAATGGAAGAGTCTGGAATGTGGTTTCAGTCTCCATCCATCCATTTTCTTCCACTTCATCCAGGGTCGGGTCGCGGGGCAGCAGCTTAAGGAGGGAGGCCCAGAATTCCCCCTCCCCAGCCACTTCTTCTAGCTCCTCCGGAGGAATCCCAAGGTGTTCCCAGGCCAGCTGAGAGACATAGTCCCTCCAGCTTGTCCTGGGTCTTCCCGGGGCCTCCTCCCAGTGGGACGTGCCTGGAACACCTCACCAGGGAGGCGTCCAGGAGGCATCCTGACCAGATGCCTGAGCTACCTCTGCTGACTCCTCTAGATGTGGAGGAGCAGCGGTGCTACTCTCAGTCCCTCCCAGATGACCGAGCTTCTCACCCTATCTCTAAGGGAGAGCCCAGCCACCCTGCGGAGAAAACCCATTTAGGCCGCTTGTATTCGTGACCTCGTTCTTTTGGTCATGACCCAAAATTCATGACCATAGATGAAGGTGGGAACGCAGATCGACCGGTAAATTGAGAGCTTCGCTTTTTGACTCAGCTCTTTCTTCACCATGACAGACCGGTACAGCGCCCGCTTCACGGCAGACGCTGCACCAATCCGCCTGTCGATCTCCCGCTCCCTTCTTCCCTCATTCGTGAACAAGATCCCCAGATACTTAAACTCCTCCACTTGGGGCAGGACACCCTCCCTGTGCCGGAGAAGGCACACTACCCTTTCCTGGCTCAAGACCATGGCCTCGGATTTGGAGACACTGATCCCCATCCCGGCCGCTTCACACTCGGCTGCGAACCACTCCAGCGAGAGCTGCAGATCACCACCTGATGAAGCCAACAGGACCACATCATCCGCGAAAAGCAGAGATGTGATCCTAAGGCCACCAAAACGGATGCCCTCAACACCTCGGCTGCACCTAGAAATTATCTCCATAAAAGTAATGAACAGAACCGGTGACAAACGGCAGCCTTGGCGGAGTCCAACTCTCATGGGAAATGAGCCCGACTTAGTGCCGGCAATGTGGACCAGACTCTGACACCGGTCATACAGGGACCGGACAGCCCGTATCAAAGGGCCCGGTACCCCATACTCCCAGAGAACCCCCCACCCACAAGGCTCCCTGATGGACACTGTCGAACGCCTTCTCCAAGTCCACAAAACACCTGTAGACTGGTTGGGCGAACTCACATACACCCTTCAGGACCCTGCTGAGCGTGTAGAGCCGGTCCAGTGTTCCACGACCAGGATAAAAACCAGACTGCTCTTCCTGAATCCGAGGATCAACTATCCAACAGACCCTCCTCTCCAGGACCCCTGAATAGACCTTACCAGGGAGGCTTAAGAGTGTGACCCCCCTGTAATTGGAGCACACCCTCCGATCCCCCTTTTTGAACATGGGGACCACCACCCCAGTCTGCCAATCCAGAGGAACTGCCCCCGATGTCCATGCAATGTTGCAGAGCCGCATCAACCAGCACAACCCTACAAGCCTTAAGGAACTCCAGGCGGATCTCATCCACCCCTGGGGCCCTGCCACCGAGGAGCTTTTTTATCACCTCGGTGACCTCGTCCCCAGAGATTGGAGAGCCCAACCCAGAGTCCTCAGGCTCAGCTCCCTCAATGGAAGGCATGTTGGTGGGATTGAGGAGGTCTTTGAAGTATTCCGCCCACCGGCCCACAACGTACCGAGTCGAGGTCAGCAGCACACCATCCCCACTATAAACAGTGTTGGTGCTGCACTGCTTCCCCCTCCTGAGATGCCAGATGGTGGACCAGAATCACCTTGAATCTGTATGGAAGTCGTTCTCTATGGCCTCTCCACGCTCCTCCCATGCCCGAGTTTTTGCCTCAGCAACCACCCGAGCCGCATTCCGCTTTGCCTGCCGATACCCATCAGCTGCTTCTGGAGTCCCACAGGCCAAAAAGACCTGATAGGACTCCTTCTTCAGCCTGACAGCATCCCTCACCAGGGGCGTGGTAAAGGGGTGAAAAGTGATGACAATTCTAGGGGCCTTGACCAGCTGGGGGCCTTCCACAATTTAATTATTTATATTTTGTTCATAGAAATAAAATGAAAAAATTGGGGTCCTGTCAAATACAAAATTAATCGTATTGTATTTTCAAAAATTGTTTTTAGCAGTAAAAATTTTATGTTACCCCCCCCAGACCAAAAAACACACATCCGTTTTTGCCCTGAACTCCCCTGAATCTGCATGAAATGGTTCGTTCCTGCTTGGAGCACTTGAGTGTGACACTGACCCTCACCAAAGGTGTCCAATGGGCTCAAGGGTGTCCGCCGTGACAGGCACCGACAACCTTGCAGCCACAGCTCCGATAAGCCGCCTCGGCAATGGAGGCACGGAACATGGTCCACTCAGTCTCAATGTCCCTCACCTCCCCCAGAACGTGTTCGAAGTTCTGCCAGAGATGGGAGTTAATGCTCCGTCTCACAGGGGACTCCGCCAGACGTTCCCAGCAGACCCTTACTACACATTTGTGCCTGCCAGGTTTGACCGGCATCCTCCCCCACCACCGGAGCCTATTCACCACCAGGTAGTGGTCAGTGGACAGCTCCGCCCCTCTCTTCACCTGAGTGTCCAAGATATACGGCCGCAGATCCGATGAAACGATGACAAAGTCGATCATCGAACTGCGACCTAGGGTGTCCTGGTGCCAAGTGCACATATGGACACCCTTATGCCTGAACATGGTGTTCGTTATGGATAATCTGTGACGAGCACAGAAGTCCAACAACGGAACACCACTCGAGTTCAGATCATGTGTAAGGTTTCAGCCTCTAATTTTTTAAATATTTCAAGTGGCATGTTTTCTTCCTTATGTCTCTTTATCTTCATGTTCTTTTCTTCTTTTTGACTTCCTGCCATCGTCCTTGTGTACTTTCTTACTTCTCCCTTATTTCATTACTCATGTTCTTACATCCTTCCATTTAAGTTGTCTTTTATCCTCCCTTCTATGTATCACTCCAACTTTTTCATTTGACTTGTATTCTTCCTTTCTTCTCATTTTGTTTCCTTCCATCCTTGTCTTTGTCTAATTCAATTTTTCTCTTTTCTTATTCCCTGTCTTCCTTCTTCCTTGTTTCCTCATCACTTTCTTCTACGTTTCTTGATGCATTTCATTCTTGTTTTCTTCTTT